CCGGGAACCCGCCCGCTCCACACCCGCCGGCAGCAGGCAGCACCAGCCCGACCGACGCAGCAAGAGCCGGAGGCCAGGGACATCCAGGGGAGCGGCGGGGCAGAGGCCGGCCAGGGGAGGACGGAAAGGCTCCCCATGCGCGAAGGAGAGCCAAGGGACGAGAGCTGGGGGTGGGGAGCGGGTGTCTCTGCCCTGGTCCCCTCGGGCTCCCAGGGCGCCGGCACCCCTGCAGCGGTGCAGCGGCGGAGCGGCCACGGAGGGCTCTCTTCCTGTCACACACACACTCACTCTTCACCCTCTCACACACACGTGTGCTCACACTCACTCACTCACTCTCCCATACACTCAAACAGAAAGGCAGCACCGCACAACAGCCGCTACCTCCTCACCGATACTCATTCTTAATGGTCTCCACTTAGTCTCATATGGGAGAAAACTACAGAAATTAGATGTTTAATTGTTATTTACTTGACTTTATGAGTTTACTTATTGATATGTTTATTTATTTTCACAGTGTTAGGAACAGAACCCAGAGCTTCCCTCACGTGAGGCAAGCTCTCTATCAGTGAGCTACACTCACCCAGCACTTTGGAGTCGGCTGTGAGCAGGGCCTTCTGAGGTTGTGGCCAGCCTCATGGGCAGGTGAATGAGGCATGTTCTGGGAGAGAGGGATGGCCTTTTATCTGATCCCACAAAGGATCCTTGACCTGGGAATAGGTGGGCAGTATACATAGAAGGGTTCTATCAGTTTTGCTGCTCCCCTCAGCACCTGGTGGTCATTTCTGTGGCTGTGGGTGCTGAGGACTGCAGGTCCTCTGGGTAGTGCTCATCTCTGACAAGTTCTGATACTACACAGGCAGGAGTCAGGCCACTGGGTTGAGACCCAGCTGTGGGGAGAGCAGGGGAGTGTCTTGTGGGTGCCCCAGTCCAGCCTCCCCAGCTCAGCACAGCAGTGGCCTCCTTGGGGTGTGAGAGTCCAGCTCTTTGAAACATGGTGGTGGCTCTTCAGCTGTCTCCCCAGAGCCGTTCACTTGGCCATTACAAGCAGGAGTAGGTAGGTAGCTTCTCTCCAAGAGTCTGGGAGTCATTGGATCCCCACTGTCCCTTCCCCATCCCCCGTTCCCCTCTCAGACACTGTCTCTGTGTGCAGATGACTAGATCCTGTCCTTTTAGACTTCCTCAAGTGTGCCCTGCTCCAGTCCCAGCCCCTGCTGGAAGTGGGACGCTGGGTTCTTTTCACTGCTCTGGGGCTGGCCCTATTGGGGTGTTTGAGACCCTCATGGTCTCAGTTGGACCAGCACAGCTGAAATGCAGTCCCAGGAGGGAGCAGTCATTCATTCCCTGATCCCTCCCCTCATTTCTGACACTCAGACGAGAGAAGAATAGGAGAGGAAAGATCTGCTTTCATTTTATTTTATTTATTTTTGCAGTAGAGGGGATTGCACACAGGGCTGCTCCACCACTGAGCTACATCCTCAGCCCCAATCGTTTTTCACTTTAAGACAGGGGCTCCATGGCATCGAACTTGGGATCTTCCTGCCCAGACATCAGTCACTAGGTATACAGGCGAGTGCCACCGCGGTGGTTTTGTTTGATTCTCATTACTTTAGGGGTGCTTTGGAAAGGAAGAGGTGCGGTGGGATATGTTCGAAGTACCACCCCAAGTCATCATTCAGAAAAGTTGGTCTCGGGGTCGCAAGCGGGGTCGGTGCGGCAGCCATCTGCAATGAGAGTTGGTGTCAGTGGCGGCTTTTCCGCATCCCACCCAGCCCGGGTCCCCGGGTCCCCGCGCTGGCCTCCCAGGGCTCACCTGAGCTGCAGCAGAAGCCGGCGGCCGCGCACCGGCCCCCGCTCCCGCAGGGCTTCTGGCCCGACTGGCAGGGCGATGGCAGGTAGTTCTCCTCCTGGCAGCGCAGCGCCTCAGCTGTGCCCACGAAGCAGCCCAGCTCGTCCCCGCAGCAGATGCTGGGCCCGAAGCAGCGCCCTTGGCCACCGGGGCCGCAGGGGAGGCACTGCGGGGAACCGAGAGGGTGAGCGGGAGGGAGTTCGCGGGGAAGGTGGGGACCCCCTGGAGGCCCCGCCCCGCGGGTACTCGGGATTCGGTTGCCAGGACTGAAGCTGGGATCTGGCTCCGCAATGCTGGCCAGATCCAGGGAGCTAGAGGTCCTGGGGCCCGACTGAGCTCTAAGGGCAGCAGTGGAAACCTGCCAAACTCCTTGGGTTCCTAGGTGAGGAAGGGACAGGATCCAGGGGAGAGAGCTGCATGGTGGTGGTCCCTGTGGGCCCTAGGGTCGGGTGGCTCACCTTGCGCACGTCCAGCTCCAGCACGGCCCTCTTGCCTCCCAGGGGGCAGTTCTGGATGTAGCAGGCAGAGGTCAGAGCCAGGAGGCCCAGCAGGCAGCAGGGGAGGCTGAGGCTGGCCATGGTGGAGGCACTCTGGGTAAGGGGATCCACAGCTGGTGGCAGTCTTCTCAGCCTGGTCTTTTTATGCTCAGGCGCTGGACCTGCTTAGCAGTTGTCTAAGAATGCAGTCGCATTACTGGTCACAGCAGGTCACTGTGGGTCAGGCTGTGTGTGCTCAGGGTGGATCCTCTCATTACCAGTCCACCCCCCAGCATCAATGTCACACATTTGCTAATGAATTGAGAGAGGGCCTGAGGTGTCCCAGGGAGGAGGCAGGCTGGGTCAGCCTGGGCCATGAGGGTGGGAAAGGAAGAATTGGATAATGGAGAGTGAGGAGTTCAGCCCAACCTAAAGCTATTTTTCTAGACCTCCAGTACCCGAAAGAGGGTGTGAGGGTGGGGATGGTGGACCCTAGGGCTCCTCCAAGCAGAAACAGCCTCTGGCTAGAATCCCCATCCATACACCTTGGTCCATACACATTCAGTCCTTGACCCCCTAGTAAAGGTCTCCTCTTCCTAAGCCTAAATAACCAGAAAACCTCCCCACCCCAGCACACAGCCACAGCCACTTCCCTGCCCCCAGCACTTGCATGGATGAGATCCCAGCTTTCTCCCACCTCTACCTGCAAATCAACCTTTCCTCCAGCTAGGAGCTGGGCTACAGTCCACCTGTATTGGAATTTACAATATCTGTGACTATGTCACCAACACAGGTGACAGGCAACCTCCCATCATGTTCAGTTACTGCAAAAGTCTCTAAGGATTGTTTAGAATCATGGTCACCTGGAGATTAGGGCATTCTTCTGTCTGCCCCTAGAGTTTGTGATCTAATGGTTTATTAAAGAATCAGATTTAGGACAAAATCAAAATGTGTTGTATCATATTGACACCTGAATATAAATGTAATTGGTTTCTTTTGTAACCCATCATCTTTTGTGTGTATGTGTGTGTGTGTGTGTGTGTGTTGATGATCAAATTCATCTTTTGTTTTATATATTTAAAAACTTCTGGAGGCTATCCAAGTGCAGTGGCACACACCTGTAATCTCAGCAGCTCGGGAGGCTGAGGCAGGAGAATAGCGAGTTCAAAGCCAGCCTCAGCAATAGTGAGGTGCTAAGCAACTCAGTGAGATTGTGTCTCTAAATCAAATGGGATATGGTTGAGTGCCCCTGACTTCAATTCCCAGTTACCCCCCACCCCACGCACAAAAAAATTTTTGGAGGCTGATATGGTGGCGCACGCCCGTAATTCCAGTGACTTGGGAGGCAGAAGCAAGAGGACCACAAGTTTGAGGCCAGCCTCAGCAAATTAGTGAGGCCCTAAGCAACTTAGTGAGACCCTTATGTCAAAATAAAAAATAAAAAGGGCTGGGGAGGTCATTCAATGTGCATCATTCCTGGGTTCAAAATCCCCAGGACCAGAAAACAAAGAAACAAACTTTTGGGGAACTGAGAGATAGCTGAGTTCTAGAAAACTTGTGCAACATGTGAGAAGCCCTGGTTTCGTTTGCTAGCACCGTGGGGGGAGTCATTTCCTCCTTTATAAGTTTCATTTTAATGGAGCAGGAAAGGTGTGAAATATCCGAGAGAATAACTGCTTATGGTTGTTCCATCTAGCTGTTTCCCAAAAGGTCACATGTTAAGGCTTGGTCCTCAGGATGCTGTTATTAGGATGTGGTTCGATCTTTATGAGGTGGGACCTAGTGGGAGCACTTTTGGTTGTTGGGTGCATGTCCTTGAAGTGGCTAGTGGGACCTGGCTCCTCATGGCTCTCTCTTGCTTCTCGACCATGAGGTGAGTGGTTTTACTCCACCGTGTGCTCCTGGTGCCATATGCTGCTTCCCCATAGACCTGTAAGCAACAGGGATCCTGGCCTGGAACCTCTGAAAGCATAAGCCAAAATAAGTCATTTCCCTTTATAAGTTAATTATCCCTGGTATTTTGGAATGGTGACAAAAACCTAGCAACACAGTTAGGAAACAAAGATCAGCCTTATTTTTCTAGCAATAAGCACATTGCATCAGAGGAACTGGGGTGTGGCTCAAGGGGTAGTGTGCTTGCCTAACATGCACCAAACCCTGGGCTTGATGCCTGCACCCACCCCCTGGTAATTTTTTTTTTTTTTTTAAACAGGATTCGCTATATTGCCCAGGCTCGTCTCAGTTCTCTGGGATCAAGAAAGAGATCCTTCTTTCTCAGCCTCCTGCGTAGCCAGGATTTCAGGCATGTGCCACTGCATTATTTTAGCAAATTTAAACAGAAATGCAACTCTCCCCATGATCCGGTTTTAGGATACTTCCACCCCCAAAGAAACTTCCCTCATGCACCAATCTTGTTCCCATTCCCAGACCCAGGAAACCACTGATGTACATTTACCATTTCTAGAAATTCTCCACCAATGGGACCATAAAATACATCATTGTTTATGGCTTGTTTTGTTTTTTAAGAGGTGGGGGGGTGGTTCAATGATAGAGCACTTGCTTAGCATGTGTGAGGCCCTGAGTTAAAACCCCAGCACTGCAGTATTTAAAAAAAAAAAAAAAAAAGCAAGAAAGATCACCTCCATCAAAGGGGAAGTGCTGCTGCCTGGTGGTCCCTGAGCACAGACCCTCCCTATCCAGATGCTGGAGGGAGTTAAGGCTGAGTGGATTGTGAGATGATGCACCAAAGCCTTGGTCTTTGGTCACATGTGTTCAGCCTGTTTAAGATGGATGCTGAAACTTCCTCCTCTATTTCTATACCCCACTGGCAGTGCTGCCATCAGAAATCTCAGAGCTGTGAAGAGGGACGCAGTGCTGGCTCTGGGGTTCCAACTTCACCGAGGCTGTGGATACTGTTCACGTATATGTCTATGTACATCAAGTCCTCCCAGTTGCACACCCTGAATATAGATAATTTTTATTTGTCAATTATACCTCAGTAGCATTCCAGAAAATAAACAGAAAAAAAATGTTTCTCATTAATTCTTTTTCTCTGTTATCACCCCATTCATGCTGTTGTTGGTGGGAGAGAGACCCCATGTTGGCTACTGGTATAGAAAACAATCCCTTCCCCAGATGTCTCTGGGCCAAGAGCCATACCTGGGCTTCAACAGGCTGTCCTGCTGTTCTCCAGAGCCACCAGCCTTTGATGGATGGGTGTTTGGTTAGACCAGAGAATCCATTACCCTCCTCTTTTCCTATAAGTTCCTGGATCAAAAGCAATGTGTCAGCCTGAGGCTGTAGCCCAGGGTGGAGTGCTTGCCCAGCTGTGCAAGTTCCTGGGTTCAATACCTAGCCTGGAGGTGGGGAAAAAGCATCTTTGAATGTTGGTGCTGGAAGTAGCTTGCTGGTCCCCAGGGAATAGTGCCCAACTGTGGTATCTGCTATTGGTGGAAAGTGCCAGGTTGGGTTTGATGAGAAGTGTGGTGGAGCCTACGGACAGCCTTGCCACTGTTGAACCCTGGACACAAAGAAAAGACCACTGACTACAATTTAAACCAAATTAAAGCAAGCTTTATTGTGTACACAAGAGAGCTGACCAGTGACCACCTCACTCAGAAGCCGGCCAGAGAACAGCCCTAGTCTAAGGGCAGAGGGGGTTTTACAAAACAAGGTACAAAGGCAGCTGTCTTGGGAACTTTCAGCTAACGGGGTTCTGGCAAGTGTAACAGAAAGGCAGATGGTAGGTGAATGATCTACATGGCTTCATATTTCAAGTAGGGAGTAAATTCAGATTCTAACATCAGAATTTATGAGGCACACTGAGTTTTCAGGGAGGCTTGTTATCTGGTCCAGGAGAGCCAGGCATGGGTGAGTTCAGAGCATGGGCAGGAATTCCAGACAAGCCTAAACATCAGAGTATGATCAGGCCAAATACAAATCTTAGCGTTTTAGAGTAAAACAGAAATGAACTTTTCATGACCTTGTGACAAGATGGCTACCAATCTTAAAATGGAATTAGGCTGGGTTCATCAGCCACCATGGCCACTTTTTGTAAGGATTCCAGGTGGAGAGTGTTATCAATAAGATATAAAATTTCATGTTATTTTTTATATTGGCGAACAATTTAAGTATGTTTCTAAGTTAATGAGAGCCTAATCTACATAAAGGTTGACATTGTAAAACACAAAAAACATTTTGCTACTTTTCTACAAAAGGTTAAAAGCTCCCCGCCTTTCTTTAATTCATGTTTTAAATGTAATATCATGTGTTAGCTAATATTCATGTGAACTCAACAATATATGTAAACTTTATAAAATGATATTTATGAAACAAAGATCAGCTTCAGAACCAGAACACTTCCCCTAAGATTGGTGAGGAGCTCCACCTTACCAGAGATAAGGCTCCCCTCCCACCTTATACTTGTCAGAATGACTCCAAAGTAGGCCCTTGAGCCTATACCACAGCACCACAAAAAAGCTCAGCACCCAAACATCTTGGGGCCTCTCTCCACCCCATAGAGACGGCCTTTATTGGTCAGCTTTGACAAATAAGCCTTTGTGTGGATCTCTGCCTGGTCTCTGTCTTTCATTTCTCGCTTGCCCATCTCTTGCTTTCTCACTTTCCTTTCAGACAGGGACAGAGAACCTCTGACAGGCAGTCATCTTGTTTACTTGATTAGTGATAGCCACTTCTGCAGTGAGTCTTTCTGCTTAGCTTCCAAGAGGGACATAATTATTCTCCAACTTTAGGTCCATTCTAATGATACTATCTGTGAGTTCTGCTTTCTCAAATATTGAAGTTTGAATATTAGAGAAACACCAAGGCAAGCATATAAAGCAGGTTTTATTTACAAAATGGTGACACAGAATTCTCCTGGGAGAGAGAAGGGGGCCATAGCTGGTATCCCAGTATCCCAAGAAGTGAGAGCATCCTACCCTTTTATACATTTTAGACTTTCTTTGTTCTCCTACCCTCTTCCCCCTTATCTGTCTCCTTCCTGCATAAATGACTAGGCCCAGGAGATGGTGGTGGGATGGCTTGGGGAGAAGCAGGGGGGCTGGAAGGGCCAAGGTGGAGTGGTCAGGGCAGGAAGGGAGCAGCAACCCAGGGGGCCTTAATTAGTAGCTCCCTGCCTGTTCAGGAGGTGCTTC